AACATTATTGTTATAGTCACTGCACGAATCTGTTTCTCTGAGTCTGCTTCTCTTCCCCCTACTCTCTACTCCTCCAAGCTTGATGTCTTTTCTTCCAGGGACTGGCACTTCCTGGTGAAATGTTTAACGTAGATCACACTAAGTCTCATCATCCTGGCTGCTAAAGACTGCGCTGGCTCTGCTTCTTTTGAGCCACACTGGTTTGCTCTTTTTGGAAGTTCATAGTATACTCAATATTCTTCACCAGAACCATAATTCAAAGACAATCACTTAGAAGCATGGTTCTACTCGGACACACCTGAGGCCACCAGGAGTCACAATCAGTTAGATATAGTACACAACAATGACAACATTCTAAAATATAGAAAGTGATAGGAAGTGGTGGCTGTTGTTGGGTTGCTGTTGAGTTGACTACGACTCAGTGATCCTACAAACAGTGGCTCTGAACCTTGCTTTGCTCTGAACCTGAGCCAACCTCACTGTCTCTGACACATACCTGACATGATTACCACAGTCACCATCAACCTGTCTCATTGCGGTCTTTGTCTCCTGTGCTGATCCTCTACCCTTCTAAGCATGATGTTTTTCTCCAAGGATTGGCCCCTTCTGACCACATGTCACATGCTCAAACTATGTGTGATAGAGTGTCAAAATCCTTGCCTCCGAGGAGCAAACTTGTTTCATCTTCCACAGAACAGACATGTTTGTTCTTTTGGTGGTCCATGGCATGTCCAATACTTTTCTACTGCACCACAACTCAAAGGCATTGTTCTGTCATCGTTTTTCATTGTTCGGTTCTCAGGTGTGCAGCAAGCAATTGAGAAGACCATGGCTTGGATCAGGCACACCTTAGTCTCTAGAGTGATACGTTTATTCTTAGCATTATAGAGAGGCTCTTGATAACAGATTTCCCCAGTGATTTTTCCCAATTCATCTTTTGATTTCCTGACTGCTTATGCAAAGGATTTTTGTTGTGGATTTTGAAATGATAGGATAGCCTTTATTTAAGAAGAAGAAGGAGAGGGAAATAAGATGGTCATTGTCATGTCTTTGGCCAGGTGAAAAATGCATTGGTGATAAATGAACAATAACATATTTGAGTCAGGGTCTCTATATTCACTGCAATCCTTTACTAAAAAACTTTCCTTGGCATAGTCAGCGCCTTTTATAATCATAGTGGACAATATTAAAGCAACAAAACTGAGATATTATGAGATTTCCCCCCCCCCCTAGGTATCACTGCAAAGGACTGGAAGCACTTGCTGCAGAAGGTCAATGACTGTAGTCATCAATATGAATTGAAGCTCAACATCAAGAAGACAAAGATTCTCACCACTGGGCCAATTGGTAGCACCATGATGGATGGAGAAGAGATTGAGGTTGCTAACAATTTCGGCTTGTTTGGCTCCACAATCAACAATCTTGGCACCTACAGTCAGGAAATCAAGAGATAAATTACACTTGGAAAATCTGTTGTCAGAGACCTTTCCAAATTACTGAAAAACAACGCTGTTGGACTAGAGATTAAGGTGTGCTTGATTAAGTCTATGGTCTTTGTAATTACTCACTATTCATCAGAGAGCTGGACAATGACTAAGGTTGACAGAAGAAGAATTGATGCTTTTGAGTTGCGGTGCTGGAGAAGAGTCTTGAACATACCATGAACTGCCAAGAAAACAAATAGATCTGTTTTGGAGATGGTAAAAATAAGTTTCTCCTTGGAGGCTAGGATTTTGAAGCTCTATCTCACATACTTTGGGCATGTGTGCAGGAGAACAGGTCCCTGGAAAAGGATATCATGTTTGGAAGGTTGGATGAACAGTACAGGAGAGGACAACCCTGGATGAGTTGGATTGATACAGTGACTGGGGCAATGCAGGTAGGTGTGTCAGAAATAGTGAGACTGCCTCAGAACAGGACAGGCTTTAGAGCTCTTGTATATAGGGTTGCTATGAGCCACAGCTGACTTGATGGCACAAAATAACAAGAAGAACAATAACATCAACAACAACATCATGATACCAAGGATCTCAGATGACACAGTAGGCTATTGGATTGCGAATTGAAAGGTCAGTGGTTCAAATCCACTAGCTGCTCTGTGGATGGAAGATTTCATTTGCTTCTGTGAGGATCTGAACCCTTTGTGTCTTAGAAACCCTTTGAGTCAGTTATAATTTATGATACAGGTTTTCTGTTAGTGAGAAGTGATGACGGCTGTACATTGGATTCTTAGTATGATGACAGCATGTCTTGATGAACATTTTGCTGTTGTTATGAACAATTGTGTTGGAATCGAGTCATAGCTGACCCTCCAGTGGGTTTTCAGAGGTTGTAAATGACTTGGGAGGAGATTTCTCATCTTTATTCCTTGGAGCTGCTAGTGTATTTGAACCATATGCCTTTGGATTGGCAGCTCAATTCCTTAGCACTAGGTCACCAACCTCCTGATATGGCTCCTGATTTTAATGTGTGTGGTATTATTTTTTCCCTAAATACACCCATTTTCCCCAAACTTGAAACATTCCTGTCCTGTAATTCTTACCATATTGCACACCATTTATGGTGTTACTAAATATTTTCTTTAAGTTCACTTAGAGTCAAAGAACACTAAAGTACATATTAATATGTGTTAGATTTGCTAATTACATATGTTTAAAAATATGCTAAAATAAATACATGATTTTCTGAAAGTTTCTCTGTTTAAGTGAGTTGCTTTGCATACCTGAACAAATAGTTAAATGTGAAGCTTCTATAAATGCTACATTGTCATTTTAAAAAGTAAATTACATATGCAAATAAATTTAAGTGGTAAAATATTCCAGCATAAAACAAATAATTTCCTGTATGCTCTTCCCCAAGTGTTATCATATTTGTTTTATCGCTCTCTCAGAATCAGAAAATGAATATGATGCTGTTATCTAATAGAGTCACTGAGTCGTGTAAAACTTAAGTACTTGACTACTGATCAAAAGTTGGCAGTTTGAATCCATCCCCAGGAACCTCAGAGAAAAGACTTGACTATCTTTTCCTAAAATGCCACAACTTTGAAAAACCCTATAACGTATAGTTTTACTTTGCAATACACAGAGTAACCATGCGTTGAAATGAACCCAAAGGAACAGAATCATTTAACATAGAGTTCTTATTTAAGTGTTGCCATGTATCCCCAAATATTCTTTATATTGTTGTTGTTTTTGTTAGGTACTGTCAAGTCCAGTATGACTCACAGCGAGCTCATGAACAAAGATCTGAACCCTGTGCCATCCTGCACCATCTCATCATCTGACACATTAAAGCCCATTGCTGCAATCAACACCCGAATCATCTCATTGAGGGTCTTCCCTCTTTCCCTGACCCTCCACTTTTACAAGCAAAAAATTCTGTTAAAGACTCAAATCAGAATCATGTGTTTTGTGTCCTTTGTCTCTTTAATCTCCTGGGACCTAGGACAGTTCACCAGCTTTTCTTTCTCACCGAGGATGTGAACATTCTTGTCAAATGGGCTTTAGTTTTGGTTTATCTGGGATTTCTCCTGGTGATGCAGCGGCTAAAGCACTCAGCTGCTAACCGAAATGCTGGTTGTATTGAAGCCCGGCTGCTCCGCGGGAGAAAGATGAGACAGTTAATTTTGGCAATGACTTGAGAGCAGTGGGTTTGCTTTGGGGTTTGGATGCTTCTTTTTTTTTTTTTAAATTTTATTATTTTTGTGTGAGTGTACCGTCAAATCACATCTGACTGGTACAGGAGGAGATTGTCTCTCCTTCCCCGGCAAAGCATCTGGTGGATTCGAACCGTGCACCTCTGGGATTGTAGTTGCAGCTCCTTACCACTGATGCTTCTTAATGGTTTGATTTAGTTTGTGCACTTTTGGCAGGTAGACCCGGGACACGATGCTGTGTCCTTTTCACTAAACGTCTTGATTTTGAAATACCGCACTTGACTAAAAGAAACTAGGATTCCTAGAGAAATGTCTGATTCCAGGGCTGGGAGAGGAAAAGATGAGATTTGTTAACCAGAGAGTTTGGAAGTGCTCAAAATAACACAGACACAATACCTCAGAGACTGTGGTCTTCGTCGTCAGGTTCTGCCAAGTTGATTCCAGCTCCTGGAGACCCCATGTGACACAGGCGGTCTGCCACATAGGGGTTCCTGGGCTGCCGTCTCTGGGGAGCAGATCACCACCACTGTCTTCTCTTCCAAGGAGACACTGAATGGATTCAAACCACCAAGCTTTAGGTTAGCACTCATGAGTTAGACGTTGTGCTGTCAAGTACCGCTGGTCAAAGATGGGGCAATTTTTGAGCAATCAGCAATAGTGAATATAAATAGATACAGATAATATATAGTAAAATATATGTGTATATATATGTATGTGCATATACATATGTATATGCATGTAAATTTACACGTGTATATATGAATATGCATATATGTATATGTGTACATGTATATATGAATATGTATATATGTATATATGCATATGTATATATGTATGTGTACATATACATATACATATATACATGCAGTTAATGTGAGCTCTTAGGAGTGGCACCCACTTCCTAAACAACATGCCTCTGGAAATTCTATGAACTTTGATAAATGTCGATAATTATAGAAAGGTTTTAGGCCTTTTGTTCTAAGGTTGCTATGAGTCGTGCTTGGCTTGATGACAATCAACAACAACAACAACACAACATATATATTTATATATAAATTATACATAATATCTATCTATCTCTCTATCTACCTATCTATCCATCTATCATCTCTGTATCTACACACACAGAATACAGTCTTCAATATGGGTTGCATCTTAATGTCAATAAAACAAAGAATCTTACCATTGGACCAATAGGCAACATCAGGATAGATGGAGAAAAGATTGAAACTGTCAACAACTTCATCTTACTTAGGTCAACAATTAACACTGTTGGTACCAGTAGTCAGGAAATTAGGAGACATTTGCACTGGGAGAGTCTGCAGTTAAGAATTTCTCCAAGTTGCTCTTTCCGCCATCTTTCCGTGCTGCCACAGTGGTGCGCATGAACGTCCTGGCCGACGCACTCAAGAGCATCAACAATGCCGAGAAGAGAGGCAAGCACCAGGTTCTCGTCAGGCCGTGCTCCAGAGTCATCGTGCAGTTCCTGACCGTGATGGCGAAGCATGGCTACATTGGCGAATTTGTGATCACTGATGATCACAGAGCGGGGAAAATTGTTGTCAACCTCACAGGCAGGTTAAACAAGTGTGGCGTTATCAGCCCCAGATTTGATGTGCAGCTCAAAGATCTAGAAAAGTGGCAGAATAATCTGCTCCCATCCTGTCAGTTCGGTTTCATTGTACTGACAACCTCAGCTGGCATCATGGACCACGAGGAAGCAAGACGAAAACACACAGGAGGAAAAATTCTGGGATTCTTTTTCTAGAGATGTAATAAATAGTGCAAATAAAAAAAACAATTTCTCCAAGTTATTGAAGAGTAATGATGTCAGTTTGAGGGCTAAGGGGTGTCTAATTCAGGCCATTGTCTTTCTGATCACTTTCTATGCATCTGAGAGCTGGACCATGAGTAAGGATGACAGAAGAAGAATTGATGCCTTTGAGCTTTGGTGTTGGGAAGAGTGCTGAATATCTCATGGATGGCCAAAAGAATAAATAAATATGTCTTGGAGAGGGTGCAGCCAGTGTGCTCTTTGGAAATAAGAATTATGAGGCTTTACCTCACATATTTCAGGTATATTGCTAAGAGGGGCTATTCTTTGAAGAGGGACAGGATTCTTGGGAAGGTGAGGCTTGGTGAAGGAAGGAAGACCTTTGCCCAGGTGAACTGACACGGTGACTGCCAAAAGGGGCTTTAATGTGTCAGGAAGTGTTAGTATGGCACAGGACTTGACATGGTTCAGACCTGTTGTTCATAAGGTCTCTGTGAGTCATACTCAACTTGATGACACCTAACAACAACAATACACACAGATACACACACATGTAATTATTTTAAAGGGATAGATTGCATCTCAACATCAAGAAAACAAAAATTCTCACTACTGGATAACATCATGAAAAATGAAGAAAAGATTGAAACAGCCAAAAACTTTGTCTTACTTGGATCCACAATTAACACACATGGTACCAGCAGTCAGGAGACTGTGAGACCTATTGCACTGGGAAAGTCAGCAGTTAGAGACTTCTCCAAATTGTTGAGGAGTAATGAGATCAGTTTGAGGACTAAGGTGCACCTGACTGAGACCATGGTCTTCATGATCATTTCCTGTGGATCTGGAAGCTGGACAACGAATAAGGATGACAGAAGGGGAATTGATACCTTTGAGCTCTAATGTTGGAAGAGTACTTTATATTCCATGGATGGACAACAGAACAAGCAATTGTCTTGGAGAGAGTGCAGCCAGAGTGCTCCTTGGAGGCAAAGATAATGAAGCTTTTTCTCACATACTTTGGCCATGTTGCTAGGAAAGGCTATTCATTGGAGAGGAACATCATGCTTGGAAAGGTGGAGGGTCGACAAAGGAGAGGAAGACCCACAACCAGATGGGTTGATTCAGTGTCTCCTTGAGTGACTGCCCCCTAGAATGACAGGGCTCATGGGTCTCAGACATTGGGAGGATACCGCAGAATATGACAAGGTTCAGATCTGTTGTTTGTAGGGTAGTGTGGGTTGTACTCAACTCGATAGCACCTAACAGCAGCATTGAAAAGGGAAAGGGGAGAAAGAGCGTGGGAGAGAGAAGAGGAAATCAGTCATTAGGACAGCAGAGATTAGTGGGTGATGGGATTAAAGCAATAGGCAAGGTGCAGTGGGGGCACGAGACAGGGAGATCAAAGTAACTGATCAATAGTAATTAATGAAAAAAGGTATTATTATATGAAAAACAATAAAAATATTAAAAAACCCAAAAGGCAATGTATGGAGATGATAATATGAAACAGAATGTATAAGAACGAAACAATATTGTCAATAATGAATGAATGAAAATGCAAGCTTTCTGTTAACTTTCATTAAAATCACAGTAAAAAAAATTTTAAAATACCCCAAAACAGCCCAACCAACAAAAATCAGGTGTAGTGGTAGATTAAATAAATGAAATATCAATGCTTTGTCGATGGGGGAAAAAATTCCTTTTAGAAGAATCTCAACTAATGACTATAAAAGAAAGTAAACTCTAGGTAATAAACTTAAGAGTTGAGTGACCTCCTCTGAAACGTTGATAGAAATAATTCTTCCAGACAAGACTTACTTATGGATGCTAAGAATGGAAGATAAAATTTTAGTTAAAAAGAGGAATTTTATATAATCTCTAAGTATCTCTAAGGCTATTGTAACCAAATAAAATGTGGTTAAAAAGAACATTAACATAGAAACATATTGTCTAAAAATGAAGATCACAAGTGGAGTTCTGGTGAGCCAGTGGTAAGAAGCTGCGCTGCAATCCCAAAGGCACATGGTTCAAATTCACCGGCTGCTCTGCGGGAAAAGGTTGGGCCATCTCCTCCTGTGTGATTTGTTGTTGTTGAGTACCATCGAATCAGAACTGACCTATAGCTGGCCGTCCAGCGAGTTTTCAGGGGCGGTTAAGTGCACCAGGGGGTAGGTCTAACCTTTTCCCACAGAGCAGCTGGTAAACTTGAAACACACACTTTCGGGATTACAACACAGCTGCTTGCAGAGGGCCCCCAGAGCTCCCTGAACACGTGCTGGAGGGTAAGCTATGGTTCAGTTCCAACCTGATGGCACACAACAACAACAACAACAACAACAACAACAACAACAACAACAACATCATCCTTGGCCCACTGAATCAGAACATGTGGGACTAAGTGCCAGGAACTTTGTTATTTATGTGCCATCGAGTTGGACCAACTCACGGCTGTCCAACAGGATTTCAGAGGCAGTTAGTCCCTTGGGAGGAGATTGCTCATTTTTCTCCTGTGAAGCATCTGTGGGATTTGAATTGTGTGCCTTTGGTTTAGCAGTGCAACTTCTTACCAGCTAGGCCATCGGAGGGACTGGATGCCAGGATGTAGTTTTGTAATAAATGCTGCAAAAATGGTTCTTAATGAAACATGCTCAATTTCAGCAGTCGCCCACTCCATGCTTGTAACTTGGGGAAGGGGAAGACAGGGATCAGCATTGCCAATTTCATTCTCCTTTAATCCTTGGTCTTGATCTGGCCATTTCAGACCAGGGTGAGATGCTCTGTATTTATTCGGATCCTTGTGGTGGTTGCAAATCATTTCTCTTCCTTTTTTTTTTTTTTTTTTTGCCAACCAAGCAACATAGAATTCGCGTTACTAAACGTGCAGTGTTCTACTTATTATCCACGTGGTTTTAATTAAGCTTTCACTAATTCCCTTTATCTTGTCGTGGTTATTATGCCTCTCCCAGCCATGTCACAGCAGAATGTGAAAACAGCTCCCTGACACGTGTAGCGAAGGAACAAAGCCATTATGACCTGTCTTGCTAAATTAAAGTGGGACGACTGATCAACCTGCATTCTGCAACCAGCTTTGATAATTTATACTGAAGGCGAGCAGAAGTGCAAAGAGAAGGAACACATCCCCGGCTCCCGCCCTGCCACAAACACAGCACGCAGAAGTATTGCAGACTTGTAAAACTGCCAGGTCTCCACGCAGGCATGAGAGAGGAGGATGCACTTTGCAGGGAAAGCTACAGGTTGTAAGTGCATTGATTTATTTCAGCTCCAATTTTCAGAGGAGTTCAAGTCTCTGTGGATGTTGTTAACTCACACTGAGTTGGCCCCTGATTCATAGCAACACCATGCACAATGGGAAGAAATATTACCTTCTTTTACACCATCTCTGTGATTGGCTGCTGGCTAGATCATTATGCTCCGGGGGGCTTCATTGGCTGGTTTTCAAAAATAGATTGCCAGACCTTTCTTCCTCATCTCTTTCAGTTTGAAATCGCTGGTGAAATCTCCATCTTAATCCTGAAAGCATCATATTGTTATGTTCAATTGACTCAGAACAACTCGTAGCTAACCCTCCAGCAGGTTTGAGAGTAAATTTACTGGAGGAGATTGACTATCTTTCTTCCTTAGAGCAGCTTGTGGATTTGAACCAAGTGCCTTTAGGTTGGCAGCACAACTCCTTACCATTCGGCCACCAGAGCTCATCTGCAGACAGGCAGGTAGAACCTGTGCATGAAAGGCCTCAGCAGGATCTCAAACCCAGGTTCCTGCACCAACGTGGAAATTTTATCACTGAACTATCACTATCCCTGTCTCTAGAAATCAAAATAACAGCTATATTTTTCCTTCCTACTAATTGGCACATGTAATCACACCACACACATTTTCATCTTCTCGTTCTTGAATTTGTGTAGGGGATTTCACAAAGGTAAACACATTGAATCATAGTTTTCCCATTTGCTATTTATTGAGGAGAACAAAATAGAAAGTGGCCCGGAAAAACCTGGGACTAGAGAGGCACAGTGGGTGGGAATTACATTTTGGGTAAAAAAGCAAGATAAGGTGGGTTAGAAAGGACAGTGCATGTTCCCGCTGCTGCAACAAACAAATGCTGACTATTGTGATCTGTTTAAAGCAAACACATTGGGGGCTCTTGCTGTGCAGGTTCTCAAGTTCCCTTACTGCAGGAGACTGCTAAGCCTCATTAAATCCTGCTGCTGATAGCATTGTGGCACTTACGCACCACGCGGCCAGTGCACGTGGCGTAAGAGATCCTGCATTTTCAAATAAAATTATCATTGATTCATTTTTATAACCATCCTGTATTCTGTAACTATCATGTATTTTCAACTCTTATATGCATACGAATAAAAAAAGACTGTGGAAGAATTTGAATTAGAGTGTTGGCAAAGAATGTTGGATATACCATGAACTGCCAGAAGAATGAATAAATATGTCTTAGGGCAAGTAAGTGCAACCTGAATGCTGCCCAGAAGTGAGGATGTCTAGACTGCTGTCTCGTTATAGACCCGTTAACCAGCAGAGACCAGTCTCCAGAAGAGGACACGATGCTTGGTAAAGTGGGATTGGGGGAGGGGGAGGGAAAAAAAGAGGGAGACCCTTAATAAGATGCAGTAACTTATTAGCTGCAAGAATGGTCTAAATCATATCTATCAGCGTGCAAATAGTGGAAGGCAAGGAAATGTACTTTATTTTGTTAAGATAATGTTTCTGTGGGACATGTTGTCTCAAAAGGCAGAGGGTCAGAGAAGGAGAGGAACCAGGTGGATAGACACAGTGACTGACGCAATGGGCTCTAGTGTTTCAGAGAGTGTGAGGAAGTCACAGGGTAAGACAGGGTTTAGGTCTGGTGTTTATAGAGTCGCTATGGGTCATACTCAACTCAATGAAACCTAACAACAACAACAACAGCAAAAAACATATTGTTGTTTCTGTGGGTTGGAGCCAAATTGGCAACA